CTCAACTTTGCAATACACTTAGTTTCCACAGTCACTTTAATTTCAACACACGCTATAATTCACAACGATTCACGCACTTTATTTACGGTCACTACCACGCTTGACTCAGTTGTCCGTCTCTGTCTTTCTCCAATTATATTCTCTGATTAATTAATTTCGCTTTATCTGTCGCACTTATATACAAGAATAGAGGGCGCGTAGAAAAGACCAGAATTGTCACGAACAGACATGATCCTTCTAGAATATCATGACGTGTTACTAGGGTCACGTGACTTCCGCTGTCGTAACAATATGATATAGTAGTATACTGATCAAATAAAAACCTCCGTTTTATGAATATAATATAGTAGTGTACTGAGCAAATAAAGGCCTCCATTTTTAAAATATTTTAAATTAATGTACTGAACAAATACAGGCCTTATCTTAAGAATAAAAATGTAGTGTACTGAGCAAATAAAGTCCTTATTTTAAGAATATTTTATAGTAATGTATTGAGCAAATAAAGGCATACATTTAAAGACTATAATATAACATAGTAGTGTACTGAGCAAATAAAGCCTCCATTTAAAGACTATAACATAGTAGTGTACTGAGCAAATAAAGGCCTACATTTAAAGACTATAACATAGTAGTGTACTGAGCAAATAAAGCCTCCATTTAAAGACTATAACATAGTAGTGTACTGAGCAAATAAAGACATCCATTTAAAGACTATAACATAGTAGTGTACTGAGCAAATAAAGACATCCATTTAAAGACTATAACATAGTAGTGTACTGAGCAAATAAAGGCCTACATTTAAGAATATAACATAGTAGTGTACTGAAGCAAATAAAGACATCCATTTAAAGACTATAACATAGTAGTGTACTGAGCAAATAAAGGCCTCTTTTTTAAGAATATAATATAGTAGTATACTGAGGCCTTCTTTATAACAATATACGAAGTGTTTGTTAATGACGATGTTAATCCAGCCCCTTAGATTCCGATTTGTTAGTTAATAGATATAAAGACAATGGAAGTCTATATAAATTAAAAAGCAAGGAACATAAAGTTCAATAATATGAAATCTGACTTGCATATTTTGTGTGTTTTTATTATAAAATAACACGAAACTAAGTGAAGGTCAGTGGACTCGTTAATTCCAAACATGGGTAACACTACGTTGCACAGGCAGTTCTCGCTCTAATGATACTCATTGTTTGTTGGAGGAGGGAAAAACTACGAAACACCAAACAAAAGTCGTTAGCTATAAGAAATTTGGCAGATAAGTTCGTTGTTTGCTTCCCAAATTGAACAATACCTCAGTACCTGGCCGTTCGTGGAGGAGTTTCCTTGTGATACGTCTCGGTAGACGATAACCACATTATACCAATATTTTTTGTGGGGGGGGGGGGCTGTTTTACGAGACACAAACAAAATTAAGTTATTCGTAGGATTTACAAGTGAAACTAAACACTGTAGGATTGTTAATTATGTGTCTGAAGCGAACAATTTCTGATTCGATACATTGTTGAGTAATCCTGCTTTCTTTGTGATAATTATATAACACCATGCAAGCAGATTTTGTAAGAAAAACCCTCGACCATTGGTTTACATGGCCATTGCCCTATCTTGTCGTATCCCAGCTGGCCTGATGAGCCCCGATATTGTAAAAAGGCCTCGTCGTCAAGGGGATATGGTAGATATAGTGTGGTTGACATGTTTTAAGATATTTCTCTTTGCTTTCACTCGTGAGATCTTACAACTGCAGTATGGTTTGAAGTATGGAAGAAAGTTGTATTAACATAAAATAAGTCATACAAAAGTCTAATTCCCTGCAAGTTATTTCTTTTTATACATTCTAAAGCTACTTTCAAAATACAAACTTTAAGAACTTTTGAGATTATTTTCGTTTCCTATGATAATATATATCTTTCTTACACTGTGATTACTATTACATCTGCAACTTAGTTTTGCATCAGACCTCTGTACTGAAGTGTTTTTATGAGATGGGGTTACCATAGAAACTCAAGACCTCTGTACTGAAGTGTTTTTATGAGATGGGGTTACCATAGAAACTCAAAACCTCTGTACTGAAGTGTTTTTATGAGATGGAGTTACCATAGAAACTCAAAACCTCTGTACTGAAGTGTTTTTATGAGATGGAGTTACCATAAAAACTCAAGACCTCTGTACTGAAGTGTTTTATGAGATGGAGTTACCATAGAAACTGAAGACTTCAGTTACATTTTTTCATCTCCCATTTCCCAATTAGTTTCTGAAGAAGGAAGACCCATTTTTTTGAAAGTTCTCCAAATATCGGGTTTCTGGTGTTGAGATGTATCTAATAATATTATAACAATCAAAATAATGATAATGCAAAAAAGTGTATTCATAATGTCATAACAACAACCTTTTTACTGACATATCCGACAAAATTAAACTTAAAACACAATTGGTTAAAAACCTATCATACCTGTTTTTGTTTATAGTAAGTGATTAAATACACGTAAGGTAGTAACACCCGATTTTTGTTCATTAAGATACACCATGACCCGTGAAAAGTGCGTTAAAGTTTATTATTAGATTTGACCATTCCTTTATTATCTCTCCAATTTTGAATGTGATTTTGTGATCCAGTTTTATTGGTGTAGAGATTTCATCTGGTGAAAGTGGCGTCCGTTGGGTTAAGATCTTTTATAGTGTATGGATGTGAAATGAAACAATATTACTTTCATTCAAAACTGTTTTTCTAACTGACTATTATTAACTAGGGGGCGCAATAAACCTACCAGGTGCTTAAAAAGGTTGTCTCTGGGTGTTAGGTATTTAGAAAGATTGTCTATGGGTGTTAAGAAAGGTTATCTGTGGGCAAACTGATGAACGGTCGTAAATGGACATTCTCTCTCTATATATTTTGTGAGGCCATACAGGAGGGGGGGGGGTTTATAGCCATCTGTGGATCTCAAATAGATATACGGACTGTCTGAAGATATTATATTTTGTTTTAAGTATTTTCATGCACTGTTCATCTTTCTTTTTGAGGCTAAGGCTGGAAAATGAGTACATTGACGAAATCATCATTAGCTATTGTGAATTAGAATTGGTTAAAAGGTGATTAGATATAGAACATACAAACCACAATCGTTCTTATCGTTCAAGAATAACCAGTTTTGTGACGATTTTCTTTTGACAAAACCCATTCAGTCGAGTTGGTTGTTAAACATGTAATTAACCCTAACTGAAAGGACCTTATGGTAGTGCTCGACTCACAAACTGCAGTTCGAGTCCCCCATTAAATATTCTCGCCCTTTCAGCGTATGGACGCTATAATGTGATGGTTAATCCCACTTTCCATTGGTAAAAAATCAACCCAAGTGTTAGCAGTAGGTGATTTGACTAGCTGCCTTTCCTTTAGTCTATTACATCTAAATAAGGACAGCTAGTGCAGAGAGCCTTGGAGTAGTATTTCACGAAATCCCTAAACTAAATAAACAAATCCCACTGAAAACGTTCCGATAAGCAATAAGAACAACAACAATGTTTCATTAAGGATTGAGAGCAGTTATTATCTCTAGTAGACAACGACCTTATTCTGTTAAATAACTTGATGTGAAGTCCTTGATACAGATAGCTGATCCCACATCCAGCTTCTAGAACAGAATCAGTTACTGTTACACCTCTCACTCCTGTGCATAACCTTTCTCTGCTTCTACAAACTTCTATTAACACCTTAGGATTTTCCTGTCTTACCACTATTACATGGACTTTTGATTTCACGTTATAGTCAAGTAAACCCATGAAACCGCTTTTGGTTTTTTATTCATCTTGTCTAAAGTTTACGTTACACAACTAACGATGCGAATCAGTTTGGAAATTACATTCTTAATATCTTACAGAAGAAATTGTAAATCATTTGAAAGACATCTTAAAGATTCTTTAGTCAGTTATGAAGTTGTTGTTTTTTTATTCCAGAACTACATTTTGATCTGATAGTGTAGTTGCTTTGTTGGTCATTCCTTTAAAAATAAGTTCACAAAACAACAGAAATATCACGCTGATCTTCAATGAAAAAATACAGGTTATTAGCACCAAAATATTCACACGTCTACGTACACATAGTCTCACCCAATTACACTAAAATATTCACAAGTCTAAGTACACATAGTCTCGTCAAATTACACCAAAAATATTCACAAGTCTAAGTATACATAGTCTCGTCCAATTACATCAAAATATTCACAAGTCTAAGTATACATAGTCTCGTCCAATTACATCAAAATATTCACAAGTCTAAGTATACATAGTCTCATCCAATTACACCAAAAATATTCACAAGTCTAAGTATACATAGTCTCGTCCAATTACATCAAAATATTCACAAGTCTAAGTATACATAGTCTCGTCCAATTACATCAAAATATTAACAAGTCTAAGTATACATAGTCTCACCCAATTACACCATAATATTAACAAGTCTAAGTATACATAGTCTCGTCGAATTACACCAAAATATTAACAAGTCTAAGTATACATAGTCTCACCCAATTACACCAAAATATTAACAAATCTAAATACACATAGTCTCGTCCAATTACACCAAAATATTAACAAGTCTAAGTATACATAGTCTCATCCAATTACACCAAAAATATTCACAAATCTAAATACACATAATCTCGTCCAATTACACCAAAATATTCACAAGTCTAAGTATACATAGTCTCGTCCAATTACACCAAAATATTAACAAGTCTAAGTATACATAGTCTCGTCCAATTACATCAAAATATTCACAAGTCTAAATACATATAGTCCCACCCAATTACACCAAAATATTAACAAATCTAAATACACATAGTCTCATCCAATTACACCAAAATATTAACAAGTCTAAGTATACATAGTCTCGTCCAATTACACCAAAATATTGACAAACTTAAATACATATAGTCCCACCCAATTACACTAAAATATTAACAAGCCTAAGTATACACAGTATCGTCCAATTACACCACAATATTTACAAGTCTAAGTATACATAGTCTCGTCCAATTACACCATAATATTAACAAGTCTAAGTATACATAGTCTCGTCCAATTACACCAAAATATTGACAAACTTAAATATTCACAAGTCTAAGTATACATAGTCTCATCCAATTACACCAAAATATTGACAAACCTAAATACATATAGTCCCACCCAATTACACCAAAATATTAACAAGTCTAAGTATACACAGTATCGTCCAATTACACCACAATATTTACAAGTCTAAGTATACATAGTCTCATCCAATTACACCAAAATATTAACAAGTCTAAGTATACACAGTATCGTCCAATTACACCACAATATTTACAAGTCTAAGTATACATAGTCTCATCCAATTACACCAAAATATTAACAAGTCTAAGTATACACAGTATCGTCCAATTACACCACAATATTTACAAGTCTAAGTATACATAGTCTCATCCAATT